CTGGAAAATAATGATCTGATATTGTATTATGCAACATATCAAAGTTTCTGTGTGTCTGTTTGTTCATAATGGATTTGTGGACACATCATTAATGTTTCTATTTGTGCATCAAAATTGTTGTTTTCAATTTGAAGTAAAAAGATAATTCCATCAGTAATTCCTAGATGTACAGTTCAGATGTCTTTGCTATCCATATACAGGCTAATTGAGTGAAATCCTTCCGTTTGAATTCACAGAGTTGCTGTTATGACATACAGGCTACTTAATTAAAATATGGCCAATTAAATATGTAGGCCTATATTAATATGCCTCTGTATAAGTCACAGAATACATTTACCTTTAAGATGCTTTGTCTGTCGTTTGTTATTCAGTTTAGTTAATGGAAATTAACAAAAAAATGTAATATTTTACATTAAAGACATTTTACAAAATATTGAAATATTATTATATATATTAGTATATAAATTATATAAAAAGTTAATTTAGCATTTTGTAAAACTTTAGCTGAGAGGTTTCTTGCCCCAGGTGGGGGCAATTAATAATTCTAATAATTTTAATTATAATAATAATTATAATAATAATAATTTTAACTATTTAGTTAAAAAAACAAACATTTTGTGATATAATTTATCTCTATTTCAATTAATAACACAAAAATAAATACACACTGTTCTTAAGGGGCATCTTCCCCCATAGGCCTATTACAAGATAAATAGCCTTGCTATATGGTGTTATATTTGTGCTGTTATCGTTCTCACAGTGTGCAAACTGTACTGCTTACGTAAGTAAAGGTGGTCAGTTGATCAGATGAACCGGACAGGTAAACAAAACATCATCAAGCGTGACGTGGACGGGAATTCTCAGATAGTCACGTTGTTTATTGCGTCACTCTATTTAACTGCAGCTTCTGACTAGAACTATACTCCAGAGAAGAGCGTTCGTCGCAGTCCAGAGCTGGCGCTTGTGAAGTCATACTAGGAACACACTTTTGGAACGTTTCAACTCTCTACGATCTGAGATGGCGAAGAAAGGTGAAACAAACGGACTAATCTGTTTAAATACATTTTGTAAAATGATCCGGGTGAATAAACTAACTTACTTTCGATTTCTTCCTCGTACAGAGCAAGCCGCTGTTGTCGAGTGCGCTCAGGAGCTGCGCAGAGTCGGAGATCTGCTCAGCTGGAAATACAGGTTGCTGGAGCTCATAACAACACTCCAGAAACAACAGACGGACGGGAAAAGCTGAAAAAGACAGCGTTTGGGAAGGAATCTGTGAATACTGAACCAACGTGGACTCAACATCTCAAGAGGATTCATATCCGAAGACGAGGTGCGTCGTCTTCCAAAAACAACAACAACAACAACAAAAAAGTTGAACAGGAATATGGCCTTCCAAGATGAAGACGTGGATACGATGGTCCTTGTGGACTTAGAAACACCGTGGATCATTTCTGGGCTCTTCTGAGCCATATTTATCTCTGGTCGGTTTCTCTGAGGGGGTTTGAACTGTTTGTCAGCAGGAAGAGTTTTCATTCATGAAGTCGAATGGTGGAGATCTTTACAAATGGACTTCTGCTTATTATAAGACTGTAAAAGTAGAGATGCTGTGAAATAGATGCCCTGTTTTGTAGCCTACTTATGGATATTTGTTTGTGTAACATACAGGCCTAGCCCAGGGGTGTCCAAACTCGGTCCTGGAGGGCCGGTGTCCTGAAGAGTTTAGCTCCAACCCCAATTAAACACACCTGAACCAGCTAATCAAGCTCTTACTAGGCATACTAGAAACTTAAAGGCAGGTGTGTTGAGGCAAGTTTGAGCTAAACTCTGCAGGACACCGGCCCTCCAGGACCGAGTTTGGGCAGCCCTGGCCTAGCCTAATAAATTGCAACCCATTTCAGTTTCAGACGTGGAAACTTGACCCCATTTAGCTAAAAAAAAATGACCTGGAGACCAATTTAGGTTCAAAATATATGTAATGTGTGTTTTTTTTTAATTTTTTTAGAAAAAACTCAAAACAACTTTGAATATGTTGTTTGCAAGTGGCACTTTATGATATTTCATAAGTAATGCGGTGAAATTTATTTAAACAGTGACTTGTCCAAATTCTATTTAGGGACCGTTCTTTATTTATTAATTGTTTTCTGAGGACCTGCAGTTGCATTTAAATTATTTTTTGTTGAATTATCCCCAATGTGCAAATTATGTAGGCCTATGTTAAGGAGCTGCCTATTTGAAAGAAGTATCAATTTTTATAAGCCATTTAAATTATTATATTTAAATGTAAAGTTTGGGGCACAAATTGTCCAGGTGATATATAGGCTATTTATGATGTGTAAATCTATAATACTTATAGGCAACACTTTTTAAGTGATCACAATGTAAATGTTCCTACTGTATAACTCAATTTACTGTCAAAGCAATTGAAATGTTTAAAACTTTCTGACTAATGTTCATGGTGTTTTCTGAAACTAATTAAATATAATCAAGACTACAAAATAAACTGCTTGCAAGTTGCATGTGTGTGATTTGTCCCTTCATTTTTTGATTTATTAGAAAGTAAAACACAGCCAGTCTGACTCTTAAACAAACAACACCTATGAGCAGTTTTTTTTCATTCAGTTTTATTCAGTAAATCAAGAACAGCGCAACCAGCGTATAGACTAATAAACTTAACCGGTTCTGTTCAGTGAGTCAAAAACCTTGAGCGCAACCACTTCAGTGTTTGTATTGATGGTAAATATGTTGAAATTAATGATTTTTTTTCCATTTATAATAAAACTAGTTGCGTGTACAAAATATGATAGTAGACCTAAAGTACGATTACGATAGATTTTTCAATTTAAAGCAGCTTCATGAATATTTTATAAAGCAAATACATACCTGACGTGCATTTTTGTTTCTTGTTGGTTTGTAGAAGTAGAGTTAAAAAAACCCAGTAGCCCCTCACTGCAGAACACAAGATCCAGGGGGTGTGGTTGGATCCAGATCCAACTCCTCCCACCTTACATATACCTAAACCTACCCGTCTCCACCCCGATCCCTAAACCCACCCATCTCCACCCCTTGGATCTGGATCCAACCACACCCCCTGGATCTTGTGTTCTGCAGTGAGGACCATCTAAAAAAAACGCCAAATTGTTTGTAGAAAAGGTACCTCACCATCTTGAACACACCTGACGTTGTAATAATACGAACTTCACAAGAGGACAAGAGCTCATCATAATACTTCACTGAACTGAATCCATCAGAGCGATTTCTGAATCAACAATCAACTCATTTTAATGAACAGGTGAACTTGCTGTTCAATCTTATCTGAACTGCTCATATATGACGTGTTCGGAGAAAAAAAAATGTACAATTTTACCTGTAGCATAAGCAGTCTTGAGGTTATGGTCCATTTACTCAGGTATGCATTCCTAATCATGCCACATTTACACCATGTTCTCAGTACACCAAAAGAGCATTGACTTCATTCCAAGTCACAGCATTGAAAACTAAAAATCTACAAGAAAAGACCTGTGATACACAAAGGAGGAGGACATCTAATATTCATATACCTTCCAGGCACTTAAAAGATATTCCTTTATTATATGATAAAAAGCAGATGTACAAATCAGGGCATCCATTTCACACCATCTCTACTTTTACAAGTCATTAATTATTGTTTACTAACAGTAAATAATCATGTCAAACACCTGCTTGCTTACACAGGAAGGGCATATCCATATCCCGTGCTTTACCTGTCCTCTTTCAGAACAAGAGACAACCAAAAACAGGACAAACGACTCTGAAATACTGTGCAAAAATGGCTAAAGGAAGGAACAAAATAAAAATGATTAAAAACGCAGTATAAAAATTGGAAATACAGTGAGAGGAGAGATTATGACATGAAGAAACCCATATATATGTGACGAGACAGCTACAGCAATGCAGTGATCACTATGAAAAGGCCTCGGGAGTGAAAGCCTTTCTAAAGTTGGGGCTATGCTAGCGTTTGACTGGCCTTTTGCATGAAATGAATGAAGTTGTGAGGCAACTTAAACCCAGACGTTTGATTTAAGGTGTATTCGTGAACTTAATGCTTCCTTGACCTGTTTGTTGTGTATTGGAGTACAAAACTGGAGCCATTCGTTGTCAGAATGAACTGTGGATCTTGTATGGGAGAGATGAACCAGATTTGATCAGCCGAACAAAGAACAAAAAGGCTGAGAGTAATATAACAATCCCTATCAAGTTATAGTCAGTTCATACACAGGCTGATGTGAATCGGCAAGCAAAAAAACAAAAATATTAGCACACATTAGAACATTTTATTCTTCGAGCATTTCTGGAAAGAAGACTTGCAAGGAAGCAGGGTCATGTATCTTTAAAGTATTGAAGAAAAACCGATGCTTGCTTTCCAGCCTTTTGAAATGTGAAATGGTTTATTTTCTTTCAACTCGAGACCCATTTCAGGTAGCAGAATTTAATAGAACATTTCCTGCGGATTATGCAAATACAACCGAAACAGGACCTTTTCATGTAACCACAACAAGGATCATCAAGCCTGTGTGTTCGGAAGAAGTGGCTCCTTATTCAAAGATACATGGAGTTTGAGATAACTGTAGAATTATACCATGATCTGGATTAAGCTTAGAGTCATGGCCTATTAAAGTACAGACCCTTTACAAACCACCTCCTTCAATGCGCTCATTTTTGTTCTTGCGTGAACTTTATGATCTAAGTGCATGAACTACAAGAAGCCTCACAGTGAATTGCAATCATGTAGCAACTATTGGCCATTTGAAGTAGACAGGGCAACACCTTTATGAAGGTCAGAGACAAAACTGTGACAATGAGACAAAGCCATTCCCTTTCCAAGTATCGTCATCATCAGCATCATCTCCTTCAAAATTTGTATTTCCATCATCACCATCACCAATATTAGTCTGAATCAACCAAGCTTGGGGCCAGCGGTCTGAGTCCAATGCCATGATCACAAAGTTGAGTCCCTTTCTGTCTACTCTGGAGGTTCATTTGGTGAAAGTGGCCACCACCGCCCACAGCAGCTCGTTGGCGCCCGACTTGGCAGCTTCAGCCTCGGGCTCGAGATCCAGAAGCATCCGCACCCTCTTCATGGCCAGATCATACTGGTCGTCCAGCAGAGGAGAGAAGGCGTTCTCTAGAACATCAGAGGAATGTGCCAGGAACAGCAGCGCCAGTGCACGCTTATCCATCCGTTGGGGATCGTTGACCCATTTCTCCAGGACGGCCTCCTGGACCTTGCGCACCAGCCGCTGCTTGATGGTGTTGTTGGTGAGCGGGTGGGTGGTCATGTCAAAAAGCAGGAAGTTTTGCTTCTCTGTGGTGAGGACGCCCTTCTCCACCAAGTTCTTAGCCAAGCGCTCTCTCACGTTTCGTAACTGGTAATGCAGCTTCAACGGATTCCAGGTTTCACCTACAGAATGTAAAAATGGCTCTTGAAATGACTAGAACAACTGGACTAACCAATAATATCTTATATGTCAATATTGTCTTATACAACAAATCTTATTTGCAACAAAAAAAAAACAAAGTCTACATGACATCAAAATCACTTTGAGGCAACCTTTCATTTTGAGCGACGCCACAAATTCCTCCTATTTTTCAGGCACTTCCACCATTTGAACCAATGAAGTGCAACAGTCGTGTTCCGGGAATAAAAACTCCATTCATTTTCTCCGTAGGGGAATTGAGTTTTAACAATAACTTATAAACCTAAAATAGGCAAGCCTATTTTGAGCTATGAGGTTGTTCATCTATGTTTTCGTTGAAGCCATCAGCCCACATTATTTCAACTTATTTTTTTAAAATAATCATGTTCAACAGCACAATTTGTGGTGAAAAACTATTACTTGTGATTCTGTATAGAAAATCCCACCAATCAGTGTTGGAGTGATCAAATTGCTCCATAAGAGCTTGCAAGGAATGTCCAATCCATGAAGCACTGCAAATGATGTAATTGAGACAGCCTCGAATAGTATTTATGTATGTATTCTTATTTATAGATACAGTCAACAACTTTAAAGGGGAGGTATAATGCTATTTCATGCATCCTGACTTATTTTCACTGTTAAAGAGTTGGATTCTCATGCTAAACATGGCCAAAGTTTCAAAAAACAAGTTGGACGTATGACAGAGTATTTCTGTACAAAATACACTTCCTTCAGGGTTCGTATAGTATATATTTATTTAATGCCATGTCAGCATCTAAGGCTATTTTCATGGCAAAAACGATTTAAAAAATACAAGTATAACAAAATACAATAAAAATCAGCAAACAAACAAGTTATATTACACAAGATTTTTTACATTAACATATGATAAAAATTCTAAATGTTTTTCTGCCAAAATTATACTAAATAACTCTTTGAGTTCACTTCATAAAAGTTTTCTACATACATTAAAAGCTGGACAGTCCAATAAAATATGTTTGACAGAAAGGGGAATCCTGCAGAACATGCATTGAGTAGGGTCTTCACCTTTAAGCAAAAATGCATTGAGTCAGTCTTGTATGACCTATGCGACATCTGGTAAATACCACTTGATCAAATGTAGTTTTAAAAGAGATTACAAATGTATTTCAGATGTATTTCATGTAATTTATTATTTGTACATGTATCTCATTCTTCTTGCCACTTATTTAATATATAACGATTAATAATAGGTCTGATCTCTGAAGGAGGAATTTGACATTTGTTTACTTCCTGATTACAAGCCTCCTTTGCAGCTGCATCAGCTCCCTTCAGGGTTCGTAATATAAGTTTCAAAAAGGTTTTTTTTTTTTTTTTTTTTTTGAGTATGGCCCTGGCGCGAGCACAGGTCAACCAGAGCGAGAGCAAGAGCACACCCATCAGAGTGCTTCATTCGGACTACTGAAGTCATCGGCAGCGCTACACAGGGCTTACTCGAGAAGGATTTGTCTTTTTTTTTAGACCACGAAATCAACAGTCACCAAAAAAGTGTTTTCTTGGCTGTGAGAGAAAGATAACCTTGTTCAGCTTTCCAAAGAACCCAGCATTAAGGGAACAGTGGATGCTGTTTGTTCTCGGCATTTCGGTGACGAAAGTTTTATAAACAAATTAAATAAAAGTTAAGTCAATAAAGTTTTTGTCCCCGTTTTATTTATATCCATGTCACAGCTTGCAGATGATCGCTATGCAAAAGCTTCGGGTGCTCGTGACTTTTTACCTCCGTCCACGATGCCTCCTCCAAACTGTTTTCAGAGAGAAGCATTAACCCAAACCCGTAAGACCTTCGTTCATCTTCGGAACACAAATTAAGATATTTATATTTTTTTTACGTTCAGCATGCACGCGCTGTCTACTGAACGTAAACAAAGCTGATTACGTTCAGCGAAAGCACGCGCATGCTGAACATAAACAATGCTCATTACATTGATTACGTTCTGGGGTACTCCCCAAAATGGCGGAAGGTAACTCAGGGAGAAGAACTGCTGAATAAATTATGTTATTATTGTTTTCTTTGCTGTCTATTAAGGGTCAGAGATCTCTCAGATTCCATTAAAAATATCTTAATTTGTGTTCCGAAGATGAACGAAGGCCTTACGGGTTTGGAACGATATGAGGGTGAGTAATTAATGACAGAATTTTCATTTTTGGGAGAACTATCCCTTTAACATGAGATTGGCTGAAACTGTGTGTGTTATGTCCCCTTTAAATGAATAGTTTCATATTTCTCCATTGTTTTGAATTGTATTATGTCATTCGCAATGATTCATGGGATTTGTAGTTCTAAAGCATAAAGAAACACAGAAAGCCATTAAGAACAAAGGCTTTTACATTTGTCTTTACAGATTTTTAAATACTTTGCTTCAAATCAGTGTTCGTAATGTGATTCACCTTGTAGCTGGTCGGTTTGGGTTCATGGCCTATAAAGCTTTAATGAACACTTTACTAAAACCCCAATAGCTGTTTATTCTATCAAAATTCCATTTCACTCTAAAAAGCATCACATCCCAGAAGTAGAATGGGTTGCGAACAATGTTTCATGTAGGGTTGGGTATCGTTTGTTAGTTTTTTTCGATACCGGTGCCAAATCGATACTTATTAAAAAAATAAAAATTCCCCAAAAAATGATGAATTGGCCATTAGCACTATAAACACGTGATATCTGTTTCATTCATACTGGACTCCAGAGGGCGCCCTCACACAGAAAATCCACATATCCAGACATAGAAGTAGCAAAACTCAGGAAATCCCTTATATGGACAAAGGCATTGCTATTATAGCTGCAAGTTAACTGAGTAAACAGAACATATAAAGGTTTTGAATGATAAAACAAAGACAATAAACACTCGACTGCGAAATGAGGCACCGAAATCTGCGTTCGGATTCGGTTCTAGTACATACCGGTTACATAGGTACCGGTGCCATATTGGTACCGGGTTTGGGTACCCAACCCTAGTTTCATGTACTTAAAAAGAAAGTTTTTAAGTGCAAAAATTAAAGTTCTGTCATCGTTCAAGTTCCAAACCTTTACGACTTCCTGCATGACACAAAAAGTTGATATTCTGAATGTTTCAAAAGTTTTTGGTCAAAACAAAAAAAGTCAGCAGGGTGTAAAACAACACTGGACACTAATGATTTTCATTGCATTAACAAAAAAAACATATCTTCTTTGTGTTTCACAGAAGTCAGTCAGTCATACAGGTTTGGAACTGTGAACTTTCCCTTGAAAATAAATAACTTGTCTTCTTGTACATATATGTTTTATCAAGTATGTTCACAACTCACCACTTAACAACTCAATCCAGCTCTGGACTGTCTCTGGAGGCTGAGTCTCTTTAACATGTTTCAATGCCTCGTCTAGCAACATATCTCCAGTGGGGGCATCAGATTTACATATCACCTGAAGAACAAACGGGTTTAAAGAGTAAAAAAGTGTGAAGCGTGTTAAAAACAAGCTGCAAAAATCACACACACACACACACACCTACCTTTCTGGTTAGCAGGCTTTTCCTCCTCATTCCAGATGCCTCCAGTTGCAAGCGTCCTCTTAAGGCCAGTTCAATAAGCATACACCCTCTCAGTCCAGACGATATGCAATCATTCCAGAATGATGTGTAACCCTGAGCAAGAAAAATGTCAATCAATTATTATTATAAGAATAACACCAACAGGTATCACATAAGATATACTGCTATTATCATTAGCGTGGATATGGAAAAAATGACATGCTTGCGTAAATCAACAAATGTCTAAAACTTGCAACCACTTTAAAGTTAATGCCACTTATGGTCCTGACTGCTTTCATTTTGTGTGACCGTTTGAAATTACTGTCCTAACATTTACAAGCGAAGTTGTTTGCAACGGTTATATAGAGGAAAGTTGTAAATAGTTACACAATTTATAACTATAACAGAACACTTAACGTAACGTTACTTAAACAGCTCTAGAGACAGTCGCCTTTCAGCCATGTTTTACTAAAAAACACGACTGGGACCCTCACAGAAGGCTAAATTGTGAAGGTCTCCAGGACCAGCTGCTCTTAAAACACTTAATCTCTGTCGTATTACAGGATTTATCTAGTCCTTCATTTATTAGCCGCTTCCTGGCTACCATTTGACTAACAAAGCCACAGAAGTCACGGCAAACCTCTCTATCCTTCAGTCCGAGCAGCAGCACCTCTTCCATCAAAGTCAGCCGCGTTTCTTTAGCGTCTCCCTTGTCGTCGTCCTCCTCCTCCACTCCGCGGCGGGACTCATACTCATCCTCGCCGGGGCTTTTCTCCTTCTCCGCGGCGGCGGCGTTACGCGAGGCCTCGGTCCGTCTCTGCACCAGGCCCGAGCTTCTCTGCGTTAGGGAAGTCATTGTTTGCACAAACCTAAAAACACCACCGTGTTTAACAGTCTTTTAATTATACATCCGCCAGAGCCGATAATGTCTATATTTGCGCTCTTCCGTGCCCTTATAACTGTTTCATTAATACACTTTCTGTTGACGTGGATGTTTACATGCATCCGGGACGTTCCTCCTCTTCCTCTCTTATTTCCTTATTCAATATGGCGGACATTGATGACGCAATGACGCATGTAATGTGACGTCAACGTGAACGTTTAAGTGAGAACGCCCGCGTATCCTATTTCTGTGGGTGACAAATTTATATTAATAGAGTGGATAAATCTGGTTTAAATGACAACGCGCTGTCCTCCTGACTTTTTTTCTCAATAAAGTGATATCTGTGTGTTAGGTTCAAATAAATGAAACAGTGTTCCTGTAAATAAATGTAGCTATAGAAATTAATAAATTCTCAAATAAATTATTATGTGGAAACCTTAGCTGGTGGAAACCTCTCTCTCTCTGAAACCAAATAATAACGTTCTAGAAACGTTATTTTTCTAACCAAAAACTAACCTAAACGTTGCAGGAAGTTTTTTTAGTAACAAGCTAAAGATTGTTTATTTTTTTAATTTTTTTAGAATCATAGTAAAACCAAGAACGTTGCACTTATTTATGTGTGTGTGTGTGTGTGTGTGTGTGTGTGTGTGTGTGTGTGTGTGTTTGTGTGTGTGTTTGTGTGTGTGTGTGTGAGAGAGAGAAAGAGAGAGAGAGAGAGTCTTTACTATACACTATAATCATTTAGACACACATTAGCCTATATGATCAGATATGTTATAAATCCACATTTTTATACCAGCAAATTTCAAAACAGGGTTAACAATGTGCTTACTGTCATAAATCTATGGATATGTTACTGAAAATACCATTAAATATATTTAAATCTATTCAATTTCAATAAATGACACCGAGATGCAATTGAAAATAAGACAAAAAATCTCACATAAATAAATGTTTTAAAATATACAATTTATACCATTTATTTTACCATTAAATCTATTTAATTTCAAGGAATTGAATGAATGAATGCCCTTTATGTGTTTATTAATCATGAGGAAAGGTCATGTACACATAATAAAAAAATCATATTGCTTATACAGCAATGTCATTATCACTGCAAGGAACACCGTCGTTAAAACACTTTAGTGTACCGAACTTGACCAGATATTCAATAGCTGCATAATTCAGATTCTATTCAAAAATGCTTATAGGTGTCTGTGATGTGATTGAGGACCATCATAGGCTATTGCCTAGGGCTAGCTATATCTTATCAGTTTTCTTCAGAATCTTTATTAATATTTGTTTACATTTTTGGTACCCTGATATATAATTAAATAAGCAAGCATTCTCTATGTTATTTATTTGTTTATTTATGTATAATACAGCAATATCAGTTTTCCACATATTACCTGCAGTGGGTGTGTCGCAGTGTTAGTGGGCGGGGATTCCGCTGGCGGGTCATAATGTTTATTATTTGCAGAAGGCTACTCAAGTTCAACACTGAGCAGCTGATTGGCGCTCCTGCAATATGCGTCACATCAAATAAATAAAGAGGAGTGAGTGCCCAGTAGCCCCTCACTGCAGAACAAAGATCCAGGGGGCGGGGTTGGATCCACATCTAAGGGGTGGAGACCATAGACGGGTAGGTTTAGGTATATGTAAGGTGGGAGGAGTTAGATCTGGATCCAACCTCGCCCCCTGGATCTTGTGTTCTGCCAGTGAGAACCTTCTCAGTGAGTGAGTGATTGAGTGAGTGAGACAGACTTACATTAGTGGCCCTGTAAATGTGTAGATCAATAGTGTCTTTCTTTCTCTTTAGTGTTTAATATAAAAGATAGCCTAACGGCATTCTGACATGGGAGATCCCCAGAACAGTAAGTTATCATTGATCAAATGTTTAACTTAGTTATAGCATTAGATGAGATGCTTGAGTAACTGTAATTAGTATCTTCGTTAAATGTCACTACAATTGATAGATTAGACATATAAATAATGTAATGTGTGTTCTCAAAGGAAGTAAGCTGGGTTCCTACTGCGTGGGTTGTGGGCATCAGATCCGGGATCGCTTCATCCTGCTGGTTTTCCCTGATCTGGAGTGGCACGCTCAGTGTCTGAAGTGCGCAGAGTGCCAGCAGTCTCTGGATGAGTCCTGCACCTGCTTCTTCAGAGACGGCAAGACCTTCTGTAAAGACCACTACAGCAGGTGCGTGCCGCTTTGCTTATCAGAAGTAAGTTACAATAAATCGAAAGGGATAATAACAAAAATACAACTTTTTTAATTGTTTGGTTTAAGTGTTGGGCCAAACACTTTTACCTTTATAATATATTCCGAGCTCTACCAAAAACCACAGGTGGTAAAGAGAAAGCACATGATGAATCAAAGCTTTTCCTGATGTAAAAACTTGGTGCACCGTGACATTCACAAATATATCATTACACTCTTAAAAATAAAGGTTCCAAAAGGTTTTTCACAGCGATGCCATAGAAGAACCAGTTTTGGTTCCCAAAAAGAACCTTTCAGTGAACAGGTTTTTCTTAGTGTGAATAACATTTTAATAATCTAAAGAACCTTTATCCACTGTAAAGAACCTTTTGTGGAATGAAAAAGTTCCATGGATGGGACTTTCAATCATTCTTTGTGGAACCATTGATGCCAATAAAGAACCTTTATTTTTAACAATAAACATTAATTTAACAACATAAGATGGAACATATGAAGAAAAATCTCAGTGAAAAACCAAACCAGTATGAGCTTTTAACTGAGAATTCTGGGAATGTAAATTGTAAGATGTGTCTTCTTTTTCACTCCCATTTAACAGTATTTTACTGTCTATCTTTCCCATTAGATTTAGATTATAAGGTATCTTATTGTTGTTGTTGTTTTTTTTACGTTGACAGTCATTTGCCCTAGAATTATGATTACTATAATTAATTACATTTCCATGTATTTTTTTTAAATAGACATTGTATTCTTAAGTGCAATTTTCTTCCATTCAAAAAATGTAATGTTTGTGATCCATAGCATTCTGTAACAACTCCAAAAATGTCTCTTGGCTCTTTTCTCCTTTCTATTTTCTGTCAGATTATGCACCAGTAAATGTGCAAAATGCCACAACGCCTTCATCAGCAAGGAGTATGTCATGCGAACACGAGTGAATATTTATCACGTCCAGTGTTTTCGATGCGAGGGCTGCAATCGTCCGTTAGTCCCTGGAGATGAGTATGTTCTGCAGGACGGTCAACTGCTCTGTACAGACCACCATGAGCTTTTTAACAAATTCATTGATAACCAACAGAAAGATACTGTTGATCCATCTGGTAAGTGGAGTTTATGAACAAGTTATAACACTTATGAACAATATGGAATCACTGTTGAATTTTGTTTTGATTTTGCGTATTGATAGTGATGTTGTTTCAATGTCTTACTTTTTAGCATTTGTGAATTCAGATTTCACTAATTTATCAACCTTTTATATCCATTTAGCATTACATTTTATTTAATGTTTTTTTCAATGTTGGAAGATCAACTGACATTACTTCAACCACATTTTTGCTGTGTGTAAATGAGCAAAAAGCTTTGAGGTAAAACCTCTCATTATGTATCTGACAGAGGGCATCAAATCCACACCGTCTTGGTCATCGATGCAGAGGAGGTCAGAGAGATCCACACGTGTGAGGACGGTGCTCAGAGAGTCCCAGCTCCACATGCTGCAGACCTGTTACAGTGCTAATCCCAGACCGGACGCTCTCATGAAGGAGCAGCTGGTGGAAATGACGGGCCTCAGTCCTCGGGTCATCCGCGTCTGGTTCCAGAACAAGCGATGCAAAGATAAGAAAAGAGGTCTGATGATGAGAAACACACAGAAGCAGCTTGAATGCTGTCTGGTGAGTGAGTGAGTAACCCTGTAAGTTTAACTTTTTATTTCAAAGGAATTACATCATGCATTTTCTCATATTAACAATTGTCCATGGCAGCATTTCATATGTGTCTGTAAGTTTTCTTAGTGGTGCATGAGCTGATGTGGCTTATTAAAATACTTTTTTTGTCCAAAGTGCTTTTAAAAAGAAGTCTCTTATGCTCACCAAGGCTGCATTTATTTGATCAAAAATACAGTAAAAATAGTAATATTGTGATTACTTAATTATTATTTATTTGAATATATTAAAAATTAAATTTATTCCTGTGATGATCAAAACTAATCAAAGTGTTTGTAAATACATTTTTTTAATGTTATTTTTGTTTCAAATAAATGCTGTTCTTTTGAACTTTCGATTCATCAAAGAATCCGGAACAATTAAATCTATCACGGTTTCCACAAAAATATGAAGCAGCACAACTGTTTTCAACACTGATAATAAGAAGAAATGTTTCTTGAGCAGCAAATCGGCATATTAGAATGATTTCTGAAGGATCATGTGACACTGAAGACTGGAGTAATGATGATGAAAATTCAGCTTTACTGTTTATCGTGTATTTTTGATCAAAGCATAAGCGAGTATAAGAGACTTGTTTTAAAAACATTAAAAAATCTCATTCATTCCAAACTTTTAACAAATGCATTGCATGGATGCATTTTATTTCTTATTGTACTGAAGACAAAAGCAATAAGAGATCCTGGAACAGAGAGCTCCTCTACACTCTAGCAGCATCTATGGCTTGGTTAGACTGCATTAGAGAACTCAAGTGGGTTTTGTTGTTGCATTCTCAGAAGGTTTCAGAGGAGCCGCTACTGCTGGACAGTGACTTGCTGATAAACCCACCATGGAAACTACTGACCGACTTCATTCTGCAGAAGGATGCTGAACACAGATCATACCAGCAATTGGTAAATATCAAGATACACAAAAGATGGCTTACTGACATCCTTTTGTACTGTTGTTCACGTGATTGGTTTGGTTTTCAACTTACTTTATCAAAGGAAGGTCCATGTTCCGCTGGAAGTGACGTTGTGTCAATATCAGCTCAGCTAGCAGACACACCCAGCAGCCTGACAGCAAGTCCTGCAGACATCAGCGAGTAAACAGAGCCATGCGGTGAACTCAGCCTCTCCCACCACTGAAACAGCCAGTGCTTGACAGTTAACTGTGAAAATGATGAAGGTCTCCTTTATATACACTACCTTTTAAAAGTTTGGGGTCTGTAAGATTTATTTTTTATTTTTGAGAGAAGCCTCTTAGGCTCACAAAGGTTGCATTAATAC